CAAGAATCGCATATTGCAACCTCTTCGCGCTCTCTTTGCTGCTCGCATGGATGCTGCGCGACCACGCATGGCCAATCTTGGAGAAAATCCCGTGTAAGTTCTTGCGATTTGCACCAACATTTTATTCTTTTTTCGCTTGTGGCAGGGATCAATCACTTCCCTTACTCGCCTGGCAAGGATTGGTTTGCCACACAAGCTGTTCTACGCGTGTGCTTTGGGAGTTTCTCGTTCTTCATAGGAATGGCGCTGCTTATGTTTGGAGTTAAGTACCAAAGCAATCACAGGGACTTTTGGCATCGTGGCAACTGGATGATCAAGCTTATCATCTGGTCTGGTCTCACTGTGCTTTGCCTCATCCTTCTTCCCAACGACATCGTGGATGCTTATGGTAAATCTAGTGTTTCTTTCTCTTGGATTTACAACCATAGTTTTTGTTCTTCTGTCAGGAAGACTCTCGAGGTTTGGGTCTGGCTTGTTTCTCCTGGTCCAGATGGTCGTGCTTTTGGATTTCACATACAACTGGAATGCTGCGTGGATTGCCAAAGAGAGTCAGTTCTGGTAATGTTCTTCCTAGTTTCTTTTCCTCATACGTATAACAAGATTCACACTTCACAGGTATAACGCCTTGCTTGCTGTGTCCTTTGTGTGCTACATCACGACCTTTGTTTTCTCGGGGTACCTGTATAAGTGGTTCAATCCTGCTTATCAAGATTGCGAGCTCAATCTCTTCTTTATCACGACCTCACTATCTCTCGGCATCGCTTTCGCTGCTATCTCTGTGCATCCTCAGGTAATGGCGTTTTTTTTGCTGAGTGTGAAGGATGGTTTTTTTTTGTTCTAGGTGAATGGGAGCCTGCTGCCTGCTTCGGTGATAGCGCTCTACTGCATGTACTTATGCTACAGTGCATTGTCAAGCGAGCCACGAGACTACGAGTGCATCGGAGTGCCCAAGCACGCCGAGGTGGTTTCTACAAACACGCTTGTCATGGGAATGGCCACCACGCTTATCTCCGTGATATACTCCGCGGCTCGAGCAGGCTCTTCGACCACTTTCCTGTCACCGCCAGCTCCTCGCGAGGAAGGTAACGATACAGCAGCTTTGTGGGTTGTTCTACTCAATTCTTCTTCCAGATGCTCCTTTGCAACCTTTGCTCTCAAGGAGAGATCTTGAAAACAGCCATAAACTAAGTGGCGCTGGATCTGAGCACAACTTTCACGAAGCAAAGAAATCGTCCCAGCACTGTCCTGTCACGGTCTACTCGTTCTTTTATCTCGTCTTTGCTCTCGCGAGCATGTACTCGGCTATGTTGCTCACCGGATGGGGAAATCCCGGAGACAAGGATGCTATCGACGTTGGCTGGCCTTCGGTATGGGTCCGGATTGGCACAATGTGGTTCACATCGGCGCTATACATTTGGTCACTCATAGCTCCACTCGTTCTTCCAGATCGAGACTTCTTCTAAACGCATGCAAAGTAAGCAAATATCATCGAGTTTATTCTAAGGTAGTGTTGTAAATTTAGAGAAGAAATTGAATGTCTTTGGTTGGAAACAAATTAAGAGTTTCCACCATGGGTCTAGTGTTGCAAATCGATTGTGAGAACTTTGGAACGTCTGCATGGAAGAAAAGCAAACTAATGAGGAACAAAAACTGATCGAGTTTTTCTTCATTTCTTACCTTGTTCTCCTGCGTAGATGGCGAGTTGGATCTCATACAGCTTTTTAGATGCCACGCATCTGGAAGCTCGTGCGCACAATCATCTTCGACCTGTGAGATCACACAGTCAGAACAAACGCGCCAGAAAAGGTGATAAGAGCTTACGTTTATGAGACGAACGGATCATGCGGACAGTATGGTCGAAAGGCTGCTTGCTGGTGCTGCGGCGGCGGCGGCGGATGCTGAGGTTGCGGAGGCTGCGGGGGCTGCTGCTGGAGTTGCTGCTGCAGTTGCAAATGCAACTGGTGTTGCTCCTGCTGCTGCTGGTGGAGCTGCTGGAGCTGGAGCTCGAGGGCATTCGTATCGCTAATCTTCCAAGAGTTATACAAAGGTTGCGGTGGCTGGAAAGGCGGCATTGGAATCGCCTGTTGCTGCTGCTGCTGCTGCTCGATCTGCTGGAGCGTTCGCATTCCCATGCCGGGAAAAGGATACGCTGTGCTCTTCGGCACTGGAATGTTGTTCGACCATATGCCGAAGTTTGTCCCGAATAACGACTGAGGAGCAGGACTCCGATAGCCTTCGTTCCACTTTGAGACGGCCCTCTGCGGTATTGGCCCGAAGCCCGGCGGAGGCCGCACGCTGTTCAGCTTTGCTCGCGCCGCGAAGTCGTCTCGGACGAGCGCCGCAAGCTCCTCCCGAGCTTGTTGTGACACGAACTCCTGCCGTGCCATAAAGTCGTCTCGAGCTTGCGGGGGCTGCGCAGCGAAGTCGTCACGAGCTTGTTCCTCTCGACCGAGCGCCGCAAAGTCGTCCCGTAGCTGGGCGGTGGCGGCGAAATCATCCCGAGCTTGTGGTGGCGCAGCGAAGTCGTCAGGGATTGGAGGCGCGGGAAAGTCTTCCGGGATTTGAGGCACCAGTTGATCGCCTCGAACCAACGGCGGCACCAAATCGTCCCGGACCTGCGGCGTAACCGTCCCTGCCTGGACCATACCATCATTCCTCTCGGTGAGAACTGGAGGGGAAACCTTGACCGCAGGCTTGAAAACTATAACTTCGTCGTCTTCGTCTTCATTGACAGGAACGCTGGAAGCTGATGCGGGTGGTTCAGTAACTAGCATTTGTCCGGAAGGCTCCTGTTTAGGCTCCTGTTTAGCTGCCTGCTCAGGCACTTTCGAGAGCACCACCTTTTCTCTAGACCTCCTGTCCATGTGGTTCCCTGCTAAGAAAAATCTAACCATGTCTTTGTCGAAGGCGAGGCCTGCACCAGTATCACTAGCATCCACTAGCTCTGCAATAGACTTCCCCGCAGACAAAAGCCTTCGCAGTCGCAAAGCCGCCGCTTCTTCAGGCTGCTTATTGTCATACTCTAGTCTGAGCTGTGCCGAAAGTAATGGAGTGAAGCCCCTCAGCTCATGGTCTTCCCATAAGGCAGTCGGACTAGCTTCATCTGCAACCCCATCCCAACTTTCAGCCTCACAGACCGTGTTGAGCAGAGCCAAGGCTTCCTTCCAGAAAAAACCCTGTGCACCGTACTGTTTGTCATCTTCTACCGTTCTACCAATCGCCCACTCCTGCTTGTAGGCCAGCCATTCTAAGAAAACCAGGCATGCTGGCATAAAAGGACTTTCGCCTATATCCTTGAACTTCGTGCAAGATGACATGAAGCACCCGACAATCTTGAAAGCTGCCGCGAGTGCGTGCCTGGACATAGTCGAGTGCTGAAGAACGTCTGCGTAGCTGCTGCGAGAACTCCCACTCGGGACGGAATATATGAGGACTGTGACAAGTTGAAGTACCACGAGCGCCAACCCAGGAACGTCTGAGTTTTTCCGTAGCTCGGGTGAAAATAGTCCTTCCAGAGTTGAAACGTCCAGAGCCAGTAATTTCTCCAAGTCGCGAACGCTTTCTTGATAGACTTCAGAGAACGTTTCAAGGCTGGTAAAGGAAAACTAGCATTAGTACAGCGTTGGAGGAACAAATAAAAGTGGTACCTTGTTCTGGTGAAAAGTATTCCATTCAGCCGCACGAAACGGATAAAGAAGGTTCGCAATAGTTCGGTTTCGTCGTCACCGGAATGCTTTTTCTCAGCGTCTTTCGCGTGCTCCTTCGCGGGCTTTTTTTTATGGACATCCAAAGAGCGTTTCTTCTCTAATAGCTCACTATACTGCTGACGATTCTGTGACAAGCAACACGTCAACAAAATGCAACGGCAGACAAGAAAACAAACCCTTTCAAAAAGAAGAACCAGGTTATCTCTCGCCGTAACGAAGGGGTCATCGACTGCAAGGCTCCTAAAGTAGTGATACACGGCAAGGAAGTCATTGTGCGAGTAAGTTGCTAAAACAGCGAGCTGCAAAAAGAAAAAAAAACCAAGGGGAATGAGAAAGGAGCCAGCTTTAATATCTGGAAGTCCATAACGTACCTGGTTATGAGGATGCCCAGTAGCCGGCCATAGCTTCACAGCCTTGAAATAATAACTAGCTGGTAGCTTCCAATCCGGCGAGTAGTTCTCACTGTCGGGATTCTGCTCCTTGTAGCGAGCGAGATCACCCAGATGTATAAAGATCCTATAGCAAGACCTCCGGAAGTAAGTCAGCCTCTTACTATCTACCCCCAGAGCGTCGGAGTCGCCACCTTCAAGGCCTTCCTGTGCCAAGCCATACTTTTTCTTGATCTTCAAGACGAGGCCACAGTAGAACTTCGTGGCGTCGGCGATGAACTCGCGAAAGTCACCCAAGAGTTTGCGGAGGTTCACTGCCTTTCCCCCGGCGGCGGCGGAGGCGGCAGCGCGAATCCTGCCCCGAAACTCCTCTATCACGTTGTAGAAGACGAGGTGCCATAGCGACGCCCCGATGTCACGCTTCTCGGCAAACTCGGGGTCTCCCAATATGATCGCCACGCTCTTCTCGCGGAATTTGGTCCTCAAGCTGCGCACATCCTTCTTTTCCTTGCTCTTGGCTCTCAGCTGCTTCTCTAGCTCGATAACCTACAAGAAAAGGGGGATCAATCCTTCTGCCCTAGCCCCGAGGAACGCGAGCGAGCCAGCCAGCGCGAGGAAGAGCGCAATCTTACCTGGCTATGGATGCGTTCTCCTCCGGCGCCGTCGGCATCACCTAAGACGGTCGTCATCCACTACCATCGACAATGCCTGGGAAAGAATCGATCAGCCATGGCGAAGATCAAGGAAGGGGTTTCGCGGAGCTCCGCCATGGCGCCGCTAGGGATCACGTACCTTCACAGATCTATCGTCTCGAAATTTCCACTCGCCGCAACACCATAACCAAAAAACCAACAAAAAAAAATTTTTAGGCTTTGGAAAGGCATAAAAAAGGGCAGTACGGACATAAGAAGAATATCCATTCCGTGTTTATTTTCGTACGTAAAGTACGGTATCCTGGTGGTTTAGATAGATAATAGTTAATGTATTTACATTGATATGAGCTATGGAGCTCTCTTACGCGACGGTGGACACCATTGTGTTCATCCCACACATTCCATGGCCCCGGCAAATCTTGTAGTATCCCTGCTCGCCCCAGGTAGCTCCCCACGAGTTCTTGATGATCCAGTAAGGCTTCTCGGTGAATCTGATGGGAGCGTAGCCTTTGGCACCGTAGCCGACGAGCAAAACGCCGTGATCGATGTGGTGCTTGCTGCAAATGATCGGGCAGGACACTCCTCCGATGTAAGTTTGCATAAACACTGCGTTGATACCAACTGCGATGAAGAAGGAAGTGAGAAAAAAAAGTGATTTTGGAGTCTGGAAATCAAGAGAACTCACTTGCAAGAGGGCCGTGCTTCACCAGATTGGCAGCGATTTGATCCTCGTCCAGAGATACGGTGGAGAAGTTTGCGACGCTTGCCACGATTTTGTTGGCATTGAACTGGCACTTACCGTTGCTATTGCCGGTGTAAGGATAGTCGGTCTCCGTCTCCAAGCCCCCGGATTTCATGACGTAGTCGTAAGCGTTTGTCATGAGCCCGCCATTGCAGCCAGCATCACAGGAAACTTTGTCGGTGGGGTCGCACTGCGATGACAATTCCAATTCACAAGTATCAGATCGTGCTAGCGTAGAAACCAAGCATTTTAAACTTTTTCCTTACCGAGTGATCACAGTCCACCAGCTGCTGCTCGCTCAAGCTGATGAGCTTTCCGGTTTCCAGAAAGTGCGCCCCTTCGATCGCTCCAGTGGTACTAAACGCCCAGCAAGAGCCGCACGCGCCCTGTCAATCCACCAGTTAGATCTCTAGAAAAGGAGAGAAACAGTTGGCTAGAAAGCAAGCAATCCAAAAGGAAAGATTCCAGAGCCAGGCAAACAAACAAGACTCTGGCAACTCAAACCAAAGAGAGAAATCAAACGTGACACCGACACTAGAAATTCGCCAGGAACTTCCAAGACTTTGGGAGCTTCCACTTTCCCTCTTTCCCTCTTTCCCTCTTCTTACCTGATTTTTGACCTCGGTCACGGCACCGTGCTCTCTCCAGTCGAAATCCTCCGGCAAATCGTTGGTGGGAAGAACAGGCGCCTTGTTGGCCTCCCGGAGACGCGATGGAACCCTCAGCCCTAGAAACTGCTGCTTGAATTCCTCCTCGGTGAGATCCGAGAACTGCGTAATGCCGTGCACGGCCGAGGGATCCAGCGCCTGGTGGCTCACGGCGCGCACGAGATTGGCCTCGAAAACCTTGAGCCGGTGCGCGTAGGCCTCCGCCGTGGCGTACGCCTTGCCAAACCTCGCGATGAAGCTCTTGAAATGAGTCTCCACATCGAGTAGCGCCTTGGCAGCGTCCAATCGGCCATTCGATTCGTCGCGCGCTGTGTCGGTGACCTCCCGGATCCCGGAGTCGAATTTCTGCGAGGACGCAGCGGCAGCGCTCGCAATGGCAAGAGATAGCAGCAGGACAGCCAGGGCGCTCTTCCCCATCGCCATAGCTGGGAGCTCGAGCTAGGGTAGAAAGGGAAAGCAAATATGAGACACAAACATGTGAGGGAAGAAAAGAATCGCCCCCAAAAATATCTAACGCTAGAAATTCGGCTGCCCTAGAATTTACTCGTTGACTCGTTGACTCACCAGTAATCCCCGCAAGAACAACGCCCTTGCTCGTCAAAGCGGTGGAAACGAATGAGATCGCGCACCACAATCTCGCGCCGGGTGATGGACGCGATGAATTTCATGGCGGAGTGGCAATCGGAGCACATCCGGAGATTGTTGACGACGCGCAGCGGCGAATTCGCGGGCGTCGCGAGCAGCCCAAACGCCACTGCCAGTTTCTCGCTGTGCGCGAGCACGATCCGCTCCTTCTCGCGCTCGTCCACCGCCTGGATCACCACTCCGGTGTCCGGGACGTAGCCCGCCTCCGCCAGGGGGGCCCTCAAACGCTCCAGCTCCTCGTAGATCTCCGCCGCGCGGGGATGATCCATCGCCCCGGCCGTGAACTCGTGCACCCGATCCCTCACCACGATGGAGCTACACCCCGGGACGAGCTTGCGCACCCCTCGCTCCAATCGCCGCCGCGTCGTCTGCTCGGAGGCCTCGCCGCCACCCTGGATCTTCACCAGCAGCGCGTAGGGAGCGGCGCTGTCGGGATCCAGTGCCATCGCCCGCTCGCTCGCCCTCTCCGCACGATCTCCATCCTTGTGAAGCTTGCACGCTGCCAGAAGCGCCGTCCAGCAAGCGCCGTCCGGATCAAACGGCATCCTCTCGATCAAGCTCTCGGCCTCGTCCAGCCAGCCAGCCTTTCCCAAGAGATCGATCGCGCAGGCGTAGTGGTGGACGCCGATCGCTACCCGATAGTCCGGCTCGATCGACGCAAAGTACTGGCAGCCCAGCTCCAGCAGCCCGGCGTGGCTGCAAGCGCAGAGAACGCTGATGAACACGACCTCGTCTGCCGCGATCCCGTCCAAGAGCATGCTCTGGAACGCCTCGATCGCGGCCTCGCCGCGCCCCCACTGCGCGTACGCCGCGATCATCGACGTCCACAGCACCAGATCCCTCTCCCGGAACGCGATCGCATCGAAGATCGCCCTCGCCTCGCGCAGCCTGCCGCATTTCCCATACATGTTCACCAATCCGGTGGAAACCACCGTGCTGATTGCGAATCCACTCTCGAGGATGCTCGCGTGGATCGCCGCGCCGTCGGACAGCGTCGAGTGGCTCGCGCACGCATCCAGCACCGCCGCGAAAGCCACTCCATCCGCGGGAATCCCCTCGAGATCCATCATCCGGAAGAGGATCACGGCCTCCTTGCTATCTCCCACGGCGGCATACGCTGCGATCACCGTTGTCCACGACACTGGATCCCATTGCGGCATCGCGAAGAGAAGATTTCGCGCCTCGCCTACGAATCCACTGTGCGCGTACGCCATGATCAGCGAGTTCCAGGAGATGGAGTTCTTCTTGGGCATTCGATCGAAGAAGTTCTTGGCTTTCTCTAGATGCCCGTTCTGGGCATATGTTGCGATCATCGCATTCCACGACACCGCGTCTCTCACCGGCATCTTCTCGAACGCCATCCTGGCGCGATCGATCTCGCCATTGCGTGACAACGCCGCGAGAAGGATATTCCAGGAAAATATGTTGGGTTCGCTCAGATCCTCGAACACTCGTAGCGCCTCCTCGGCGCTGCCACACTTGCCGTACATCTCGATCACCAGATTGGCGAGGAAGATGTTGCGGTAGTGTTTTGTCTCGAGGATCTGGGTGTGGATTTGACGACCCTTCGTGAGGCTCTTGCACGACTTGAGCTGGTCCGCGAAGAAATGGGTGGAATTGCCGTCTCGACGCTTGGATTCGCGCTCGGCTTCGCTGAGTTTCCTGTGACGAGTGACTTGCTTCGCGAGATCGGCCCATGGCGACTGCGATTGGAGCGATCCCATGGCATCCTGCGATGCTCCAAAGTTCAAAGATTTAAATGGCGCGAAGGTACCTGGTAGAGAGTAAAACTAATCTTCTTTTCCATCGTCTAGCTCGAGGCCCTCGGACGCGAGAAGTTGCTGCACAAGCTTGTTCTTGGCAGCCTCTTCTTCGCTTCGTCGCCTCTCGATGTCTCGTTTCTTCAGCACCAAAGTATGCCGCTTGAGAGTGGTCTCGAAGTTGATCGTGGAGGCTTGCTTCTCTTTCGCGATTATCCGCTTTTCCTCCTCCGGATCCATCTGAGATTCAGAAAGAAAACATCTATCCGTATGAACAAGCAAAGCAGTGTCCGAGAACTTTTCACCTTGTGTCGTGCAAGCTGACGGGCTTTGAGATTCATCTCTCTTTGCTGCTGTTGTGCCCACAAAGTCACAGCCAGATCTCCTCTCTGCTCATATGCTTGCTTCTTCTTGATAAACCATTCCATCCAAGCCTTGGAAGCCTGTTACAAGTTCCAGCGATTACAAAGAAGAAAAGAACACCGAGAAGAAGAAAACTACGAACCTTCATGGGATCACTTCTGTTGTCATAGTCGTAGCTCCGACGAGCTTCTTGATTTGTGAGGAGCTCGTACGCGGCCTGGATTTTTATAAATCTTCCCTCCACGGTTTCATCTTCCAGTAGCTGGGTATCTCCACTGTACACTGAGAGAGATAAAGCTAAGCGTCCTGACAAGAAAGATCTAAACAAGCTCGTACCGTCTGGATGATAGAGCTTCGCCAAGCGGCGATAGGCAGACTTGATTCCTTCTTCATTGCAATCTCTTTCCACGCCTCGATAGCAACATCAGGTGTGAGAAAGAAAGATCTGATCCACCAAAATCTTAATCTTACCAAGAACATCGTAGGGCGATTCCTTGGCATTCCATCCCGGCACCGCACTGCCGCCGAGAGCTCGCCATTGCGCGATCCTTGGCCGCAACAACACATTCTTGCTGCTCCTAGCGGATTTAATCGTGGCGCCGGGACGCCACCGCCGGAGGCCGACGCGCAGGGCGGTCGGAGAGAGAGAGAACGCTGCCGCCATAGGTTAAAACTGGAGTAAAGATCCCCTACAAATATTAGGAGAATATCCCACTCTCGTACCAACGGCAAAAACTGTCCACGTCAGTGTGGGATTCCACGTGGTGGGCTGTCCGCCAGGACAATCTATCCGACGTGGCAGTATTGAAAAGCTTTGTGTGGAGTTGATTTCATGGCGTCTGCCAGTGCGTCTTTTGTTCTTCCTTTGAAACGATTGATTAAAACACAAAAGTGTGGAACGATTCGTCGAAGGCCAGTGATCGTAGTCGATTGTAGAATCAACAATAGAAGGGATTTTGGAAGGAATGGAGCGCAGAGGCTTTTAATCTCGGCGCAGCAGCTCCATCACGATCCTTCTTACAATTTCTCGTGTGGCAATGGATCGGTGTCGGCAACAGCGGATCAAAAGCAGCAGCTCATCAGTGATAACAGCAAGAATGTGGAGGAACACTTGGAAAGAGTAAGAGTGGAAGTTTTTCTATCTAGAGAATCACTTGAAACTTCCAACCTTTGTGTTATCAGATGATCTTCAATTGTCGATTTTTCACGCTGTTTGCAGTGTTTGGATCACTCGCTGGAGCTCTTCTTTGCTTTGTTAAGGTAGAGTTATCTCTTCGAAATAGCAATCTCTGTCACAAAATAAATCTTTGTCACAGGGATCCACTTACATCGCCAAATCGTTCATCGAGTATTTCCAGAATTGCCATTCCGGTGTTGGATCTGGAAAAGTCATACTGCTGCTCGTAGAAGCTGTCGGTAAGAGTTCTAGATCAACCATCCAAGAAAAAAAGTTAATTTTTTCTGCTTTTTTTCTCGTAGATGTCTACCTGGTTGGAACAGTGATGCTCATCTTTGGAATGGGATTGTATGAACTCTTCGTTGCGAGCTTGGATGTTCCTGGAGGCTACTGTATGGAAGGCTCGAGGACCACCGTTTGTGGATCCAACTTATTTGGTCTCTTTAGATTGCGAGTAAGCATCGATCACTAAGTTCTTCTACTATCAAAGAAGAAGAACATAGAACTATGTTCTTCTTTCCCTAATAAATGTTTTTTCTCTTTTCCAGGAGCGTCCAAAGTGGCTGGAAATTCGATCCTTGGACGAGCTCAAGACAAAGCTCGGGCATGTTATAGTAATGGTGCTGCTCGTTGGGATGTTTGAGAAGTCGAAGAAAATTCCAGTGACTTCCAGCATGGAGCTTCTCTTCTTCTCCACGTCCATCCTCTTGTCATCGTGTTGTTTGTATCTTCTCTCCAAGCTACACCACTAACACCACTAAAACCAAAAGAGAGAAATATTTTCTACTTTTCTAAAACCCTAATTCTTCTCTCGATCGATCCGATGCGGGTTCGGCTCTGACGGCGATGGCGCTGGATCGCCGCTATGGCGCTGCGTGGATGCGCGCTTTGATCGGCCTCCTCCTCGGCATTCTGCTCTGCGCTCCCGAGGTATGTCGAATCTAGAGTAGGGCCAGCGAAGAACATAGAATTTGGAGGAAAATGCTGCTTAAATCTTGATTCACTCCATCTTCTTTGCTGTGATCCAGGATGTTTCGGGTCAAGCTGTGTATTCCACATCCTCTAGGTTCAAATCCAAGACCTCGGTGCTCTCTCTTTTCGACATGGCGCGCTCCAAAAAGTTCTGGACCGACACTCTCATGTGGAGAAGTAAGAAATGTCCATGTTTGTTGTTCGTGTATTGGTTCTTATGGACGTAACTCCAGGCTATGACGACTTCGAGCGATTCGAGTCCCACGATTTGAGCAAGAAAGCTCTTGCAAATTTCACTGGCTCCGGTAAAAAAAAGTGGAAAAAGTCTCTGTTCTTACGTTTTGCGCATACATGTTCTTGTAGGAAGAATTGCCAAGTATCTAAACATGACTGAAATCGATGCGATCTATCTACCTGTTCCAATTACCTTCGTCTTCATCGGCTTTGACGGCCATGGAAACCATGGTAATCGACAGCAGGCTTTGAGTACGTTGTTTTAAACTCGCGTGGTTTTACAGATGTGAAGCTGCGAGAGGACGAGATGGAGCGCTGGTTTACAAACATTGATCATGTTTTGGAACACACGCGGATACCTCAACTCGGTGACGATCTTACACCCTTTTATAAGGTCGGAGCTGATGGTACCCCGAGGCCGCACCTCCCTCTTGTTAGCTATACGCACTACAAGTAAGTATATTGTGAGATGAGAGACTAAGGTCGGTCATTTTTTTGCTTGAGCTGTTTGTTCATAACTCCCTTCTTTAATCCAGCTATTCCGTGCATACTATCGATATGGGAACTGAAGTAACTAAGCTTTTTGAGTACGCCATCAAAGTTCTCTCCCGGAGGGAAGATACCAGTGACTCAAGGTTCTCCATTGTCATGTTTTGCATTGGATTATTGTTCGTTTTGGCAGGCCAGATTCTGAAGTTACTTGGCAAGTGGACATGGATAGCATGTCATACTTATTCGAGAGCTTAACGCACTATTTGCAATTGGAAGATGCATATAACATCTATGTTCTGAACCCTAAGCGTGACGAGAGCAGAAAGACTTACGGCTACAGGTAATAGTTTTAGCTGGTTGGTAAATTCGATAATCAGATATGTTTTAGGCGCGGGCTGTCCATTTCGGAATTAAAACTTGTTGCTAAAGTAAGTTCCTCCTTGGTCTTTTGCTTTTCTGATGCTCTTGTTTTCAGAATTCCAACTTGAAGTCGTTGAAGACAACAAAGCAGCGGAATCCACTAGGTTAGTTTCTGTCTTGTACTTCAGACGAAATCCTGAAACCTGTGCTGACAGACATCGAGAAGTTAAGAAAACCTTCACATGAAAAACATCCAAGGCAGAAGTTCTCTTGGACATCCTCTCAACACATGGACATGGTAACGTTGTATTCTTAATTTAAATGCTAACGTCCTCGTCCATTGGCAGAAACAATGGACTCAGAAGTATACAGATGCACTCAAGTCAATCGAGGCGTCAATGAAATCAAAAGCCTCAGAAGAGTTGTTGTTTATGAAAACTCAGCAGGTAAGCTGCTAACGTCCCTGTTTTCTTACCACACTGTTATTAACAGAACTCGGCAGGTTCTCTCGGAATCAAGCCATGACTTAGCCTTTTCTTTGAAGAGAACATTGAAAAACCCAGACGCATTCAAGACGGTAGAAGAATGCCTCGTTGATACGTGGACTGGTCAAGGGCGGTAAGAGTGCTACCTGTCGACTTAACGTGCTGATATATGTTTCCCTTTTGTTTTAGATGGGCATTCATAGACTTGACGGCCGGTCCATTCCATTGGGGACCAACAGTTGGTGGCGTAGGCGTGCGTACGGTTGGGAGCTTGCCGTCCGTAGAGAAGCTCTTCGGTAGTTTAGCGGTCAACGGTGGAGGTAATGATCAGATGTGATTCTTAGAGAACTTCTAACGGCGGCGGGTTTAGTTATTTCAAATGATGATCATATTCAGGAACTTCAAGAAGCTATGGATGGTCGGTTTACAACGATGGACGATGTAGGACACAAGAGCTGCTGGTTTTCCAATTTTCATTTTGTTTAATTTTTTTGCAGGGGCACGGAGCTATAGACGTACTTCTGGCGGAAGTTGATGTTTATGACATGTTCGCAGAAAAGCATTGCCGGGGCCGGAAGATAAAAATCGCTTTATGCCAAGGTGAATAAACTTATTTATAGCTTTGGTTACTAGTTTCTAATCTATGATATGTTGTTTAGAATTGCAAGAGAGGATGGACGATCTTAAAGACGAGTTAGATTCGTTGCGATCTGAAGGTCATGACGAAGAGCATCAAAAAAAGGCCCTAGCAGTGTTGCAACGTGTAGAAAAATGGAATCTATTTGGAGACATCCACGAGGTATTGCATATTGAATCCACAATTCTTCTTACATCACGCTTTTGCAGCACGTACAAAACTTCTCTGTTGCCAGGGATTCTTTTCTTGCTCATCTCGGCGCAACGCTAACAGCGGGTATGAAACATGTAATCACCCCTTCTACAGCAGAAGGAGCATTCCATTACTATGATAAAGTTTCTATTCAAATATACGTAATCACTGAAGAGGTATGGGTTCTCATTTGGCTCTATTTCATTGCTCGGGCTACTTGTTTTTTTTTCTTTTTCAGAGAACTAGACATATCGGTTTGCTGCCTTTAGACATTTCCCAAGTAAAGGATGCGATTTCAACACTCAGACTTCCGTCCCAGACATTCCAATACAATGTTCACTTGTAAGAAGTGTTTTACTTGTTTGACGTTCTACTGAAACTCTGAACGTTTCAGGATAGGACTTTCTGAGGATCCGGCCCTGGCAATGGCATTCTCAGTTGCGCGCCGTGCCGCGGTTATACCTGTCTTGCAAATGAATGGCGCACACAGCCAATCAACTCGTAACTATCTAGACTCGATCATTCTCCAACACCAGCTCCAACAGTTAACCGCCAGAAGTCCGAGATCAGGTAGCACAGTTCTTACGTTCTTTTCACTCGATTCGCTCGGTTTGCTGTTTTCAGTTCCGAAGTCGACGCTGGAAGTGCCAGTGTTCTGGTTCATCAGATCGGATGAGTCTGTGTTTATTGACAAGCACTATTTGGCAAAGGCACTTCCGGATATGGTTATTGTTATGCAGTCTGCTCAATCATCGTGGCCAAGCCACCTACAATGCAATGGCAAATCAATCGATTGGGATGCAAGGTAAGTTCGCGCTTACATCTAGCTATAGATATGTCTTATATCATCGCTGCAGCTCACCTATCAAAGCCGCCGTTGCTGCCGTCGCGGAGCATTTGTCCGGCTTGATGCCAACACACCTGACTTATAGCCATGCACACGATAATGCCGACGAGGTGAGAACCTCCCTGGTTTCGTGATACCTTAAAACTGATCTTGCTCGGGCTAGGACTGGACGTGGTCCGCTGGAAACCATCCATTTTCTGGCACCTCAAGCGGCTACACGATATCGTCTCTCCACACGGACGCAATAGCCAGAAGTTACATCGTCTCCGCCCTGGACGAATCGGTGCAAGAGATGAACGCGGTGTTTGAACGACTGTCCAAAGAGCCAACCCGTAAGACAAGTCTTCTGTTTAGTTGCTTCCACAGGTGCTTAAGAGGTTCTACTTTTGCAGACGAACGAGTGTTCAGACCATTTAAGTCGATGGAGCGTCAGTTACTGCAAGAATACAATTCAGTTGTGGGCATATGGAGACAAGTGAGTCTGATTTACTTGAATCTTTTACAGTTATAGAACTAGCCAGCTGACGCCCGCGCCCAAATCATTCCAGATTTCTATCAACGTTGGGAAAGCAAAATTCGACGACGCTGTTCGGTCACTCTCGTCACTGAGACATGCGTCTGAGAGGTAGAAATTCATTGAAACCATCTTCTATAGGCTAAGTTACAATGGTGGTATTCTCAGATTAACACAGCAATCAGATGCGATAATCACCGCGCTGCACCCCTTACATTGTACCCAACATGGACACCTTCATGTTCCAAGGGAGCTGTTTGCCTGTTTTGGGCTTGCGGTGGTGGCTGTCATGCTGCGGTATGCATTGTGGCCGAGAAGATTAAAGCCCAAAATCAACTGAGATATATGTCCTAACTTTTTAAAAGCCAAGTCTGCTAAGAACTTCACCGAGAATTTTGAGAGAGACAAGGCGTGACAAGCTTATCATGGTAGTGTTGCGATCCTGTTTCCCCACCTTGTTTTCATATAGATATATACATGGTATCTATTACTATATGTTTTCCATTACTTAGTCGCTAAATTTCTTTTCCGCAAAGCAGGCCTCTCTCACTCACTTGCGAACGGCATTTGATTTCCTCCCATGACCAATCGATTCAGTTACATTTGCCTGAAAAAGAAGAGCGTCAATCCAAAGGAATAGTTTGCACAATGAAATTTTTTAGGAAGGGCTTATAAACCTCAACCTTTATCATTCAATTGTTTCATTAGGGTATATTAGGAATGGATAGTGATAGCGAGAGCGGTGAAGGTGGGCGTGAGAGAGGTCGATGGGGAAGAGGTGGCAGCATACCAAAACCTTTGAGTTTGAACGTCTTCCCGTTCATGACGCAGAGGTCCTGGCAGAGCGGCAACCCCATGGACAAGTTCTCCTCCGTCATGGATCCCCGCTGTGTCAAGGCTTTCGCGGTTTTCGGCCCTCTCCGCTGCCTCCATTCCGCATTCCCATCCTTCCAAGAATCCAACTACCGAGCTATGTTTCAGCAAATCTTTCCAAGCCTGGCGCATGTTAAAAGCAAGATCTTGTATCTGGCACAAGATGGCGCTTTTCATTTTCGACTCGAGCCAGGATACTCAGGCCAAGCTGACTTCGTGCTGCGGACAATCTCGAAGAAGGCGCTGGAAGAATTCAAGGGCGAGCACGATGAGATCTTCTGGGACAACCCGGACAAGGAGGCACTCGCCAACGAGGTGTTTGACACCATACCACCCGAGAATGTTCGTTACGACGCGGTCATCGACTGTAAGACGGACAGTGTCAAGGATTGGAACGTGAAGACGCGCATGGAGCTGGCTTCCTACGGCAACCAGCTTTGCCTGGAGAATCTGCAAAATGGTTTCTCCCCGAGGCCCGTCTACCTTATTGCCATCGATGCAACAAGGTGGCGGCTGTCCGTCCTCGACCCTTACGGAGTCATCTCTGTCAACCCGTCCAGCAGCATCGACGGTTTCGCGTCCTTCGCTAAGCAACAGAAGCTTCGGGCCGAGCGGATCAGGAAGAAGGATCCAGATCGCGTTGGCTATTTCGCGAAAACTCTGCCTTGGACTCAGGAGAATCTGCAGGATCGCTTAGAGAACGTGAACAACTTACTGACGGACAAGGGAAACATTAGCGGAGTGAAAGCCGGCAAGTACGTGGTGTCGAACATCTGGAATGCGCGTGAAGTTTTTCTCTGGAATGGTAGCGGCTTGGACGGAAAGCTTCTGGACGGATCATTGGTTCTCTGCGAGGGACTGCTCCGGCTCGCCTGCGGCGACAGAGTGTGCAAAGATGGATGGACGGCACAGAAGTTACGAATGGTATTCAAACGCCAGCACGACGAGGAAATCAATAGATGTCTTCAGTTCGAGAGGTCAGCATTATTTTGCGGCTGTGTCTCTTGCTAACTTTGTTCTGGGCATAGTGCATTCACAAATTCACAGGCACGGAGTTTAGCATGTAAGCTTGTGCCTTATGTTGGTAGTTTTGCTATACACATTCAGTGGATTGTGCAGGTTTCTACTCTGAGAATGTTATAGCTGCTGCAGTCGCTGACATGGAGGCTATGACACGGGTTCCAGCAGACGGCTTCAGGCACGGATTCATAGATTCGATCGAGACAGTGCGAGGATGTTTGAGGGAAATGGCGAGAGTACCATCCACTGCATCTCATTTCCTGACGGTAATACAGCTTATACAGTTCGCTTACTCTCTCCAGGTTTGATTTACTTGATCATCAGCTTGGCCGTTTGTACGGGGGAGAGGAATTTCTAGAGCTTCTGGATGATCAGGCCAGAGTCAAGATTGGAACCTCAATTCGTCACATCATAGTTGATGTAAGAATTTGTTTTTTTCTTGTCCTCCTTTCTATCAGTTATCCTGTATGGATTCTTTTGCATAGAATGATATAGCGGAGGACGATGCTGTAGAATGCTTCGACGCGTTGGTTATCTCTGTTGAGCGAGTACTCAAGAGTTTTAATCAAGAGATGGTGGTCACACAAAACTACACTGTTCTGCTGTGCAATGACACGTCTACCTTAGACCGTTTTTGGCACAAACTTTTTCAGGGTGTAAGGCTCTATTGTTCCGTTTTGAGCAGGGAATTTAACTTTATGCTATGTTTTTTCAGGCGTACGCACGGCTTGTAGTTTTTGCAAAGAATGTGGATAAGGGGCACATGCTCAAGAATGTAAAGGTAAGTGTGGCTTTTGCGAATAAATCTTGAGCTGAGCATCGTGATTGTTGCAGTCTAACATTACGATTCTGAAAGTGCGCAACGAGAGCTTGAATGCTTTACGGACTTATTTGGGTGTTGAGGTAAAACGACGTCTCGTTTGCTCATTTTCCTTTCCTCACTTGCATTTGTTGTTGCTGGAAGCTTGTGGATAATCAAAAAGCGGATTTTATCAGCTGTCGCGGGAGAGCTAACAAGGTAATATATCAAGCTCGCAGTTTTTATAAGTTTCTACATGCTTGAGCCTTCTTGCAGCTTGTAATGTGCAGGAATGAGGTGATTGTTTACCGGTCGGGTAATGTCTCGGAGAATCAGCCCCTGAGCAGTGTTTTGGAGTTGCGGGTAAGATGAGTTTTCTCGAGCAGTGCTGATTGTTAGTTCGCAGGTTAGCGGTGCTACTCGCGATCACTTCCATGAGAGGGTGGGACGTATGCAAAAAGCAGCAACAGCCATAAATTCTTCTATAGCGAAAGGACTTATAGCAGGTTAGTATCATATCCCGGCTTCTTTCTCTTGTTGAGCGTGTATGATCTGCAGGGAGTGGTGTTGCATTTGCTGCAGCGTTGTGGCCACTCGAACCATCCAAACGTGACGATGCTTCTGATTGCGATGCTGGAGCTCGCATTGTTACAAAGGCTCTGAGCGTAAGCAACCCCGTCTAGATTTGTTTCTCTTGATCAAAGCTTTTCTCTTCCCACAGGTGGTGCTAGAACTGTCACCTTCCATCTCCAAATCTTCGGAGGTCGCTCACTGCAAAGCAAGGATTTTCCAGCTGAGCTCGGAGAGCGAGTTTGGCATCGCTCTGGAACGCGGAGAAGTCGATCTTTTGGAATCGGTGGAGGAGACGCTGGAGGAGCTGGAAAAGCTCTTCCACTGCTCCCTCTCGGTGCTCCACAAGAGGTTAAGACCCGATGAAGTTAAAAAGGTGAGACCGTAAGAATCGAGTGGGTCAAAATATTATATTTGGCAAAGAAGGAAGAAAGGTGACAAAAACAAAGGTTTTGAGATCATCAAAATAATCGCTCGCATTTTTCTACATCACTATCAGATCAGCGTCACTGGTGGTTCCTAAACCTTGGGGATCGCTCCACTTCCATCCGGAGCGCTGCCATTCTTCTTTTCTCCTTGAATTGCATCGCTCAGTCCTGCGTTCTTCTTTGATCTGGTGTTCTTCGTCGCTGCTCCATCCGTGGCGCGGTCATTCTTCTGTGCTCCTTGGATTGCATCGCTCGCCCCCGCGTTCTTCTTTGATCTCGTCTTCTTCACCGCTGCTCCAACGTTCTCCGCCGCCCCGGCAGCCTCGTTCTTCTCTGGCGGCGATGGTGCCACCGTCTTCGTCTTCCTCTTTGCGGCTTCCTTCACAGTCTTCTCGGCAGCCGGAGCATTCGCCACAGCAGCTTTGTCCTCCTGTTTGGTTGCTGCTGCCTTCTTCTTGTTTGCTCCAGCGGGTGGCTT